GGTTGCTGCCAGCTTACAGTTACCAGCCTCCAGGTGGGACTTGGAAATCTCTCAGAGGTACAACTGAACTCCAGACCACAGAGATCGGCCTCCCTGGAGAAAATGGCTGCGCTGGAGGGTGGACTCTGTGGCATTATATCCGACTGAGTCCTCTCCTCTCCCCTCCCCAGACCCTGCCCTCCTCAGACTCCATCACAAAATCTCCAGGAATTTTCCAACCCGGAGCTGCCAACCCTAGCAAGGCCTGGCCTGGCCTCAAGGTGCCCTCCCTCAGAGGCCAAAATAGGTCTGAAAAGGGTCCTGCCACCTCCCCTGCCTTTTTAAAGTCATACAATAGGGTTGCCAACCTCCAGGTGGGGCCTGGAGATATCCCGCTTCTGCAACTGCTCCCCAGACTACAGAGATCAGTTCTTGTGTAGCTGCTTTGGAGGGTGGACTCTATGGCATTGTACCATGCTGGGGTCCCTCCTCAATCCCCATTCTCTCCAGGTGCCACCCCCAAAATCTCTAGGTATTTCCCAACCCAGAGCTGGCAACCCTGCGACACAGAACCAACCTTGGAATGCTGTGGTTGCCTAGCAACAGCCACTGAGGGAGTTTGTTGCTTAAAGCTACAGGTGTCCCTTTTGTCATTTTTGTATTTTTAAACTCCCCAGTGTATTTTTCCAGATTTCACTCTTTTTTTGTTGTTGCAAACCTGGGGCCCTTTTTGGGTTTGTAGAATGATCTGTCTTGTCTATTCACAGCTTCTGTCACTGGATTTAAGTATCCAAACATTTTCTGACTTGAGTATTTGGGTCCTTCGTGGCATTTTGCTGGTTTGTTGGGTTTTGAGATTTATTTTCATAGTAAGCCTCTTCGGAGGGAAGGAAGGTGGCATGGGACAGCCCAATCTCATAAGATCTTGAAAGCAAAGTAGGGTCATTACTTGGATGGGAGACCAATGAGGAAGACCCTACAGAGGAAGGCAATTGCAAACCCCCTCTGCTTCCCAATGGCCTTGAGAGCCCCTTGCTGAAGTCGACGTAAGTCAGCTGTGTCTTGATGGCACTTTATATATGCACATACAAGCCTCTTTAGGGACAGAAACGTCTTTGGTGATTATGGTGATAATGTTGAAAGGGATCAAAGTAGGGTTGCCAAGTCGAAAATCGTTGGGAGCGGGGGACTCCTGTCTGGCGTCCTAGAGTTTCCCCCTCGGATGGTCGTGGCCCCGCCCCCAGCGTGTCCAGCATCATAATGTCACTTCTTTGCTGACGGGTGGGGTTCCCCCCGGGGACCGATCTGCTGGTGGTGGGGAACGGGCCTCTGGGGCGGGGGTTTCCCCGCCCCCCTGGGGGACTTGGCAGCCCTAGATCAAAGCATATCCAGATCAGTCCCTCTCTGTAAGAAAGGGCTATCCACCATAGGCAAAGATAGCCAGGAACCAGTGTGGTGTAGGGTTAGAGTGTAACCTTGTAGGCCTCAAAATGGCCGACTGGCCCTTTGGCATTTTTCAATTGGCTTGAATTTCAAAGGAGATGACTTTGAAACTTCCAGCTGAACCCCTGCACCTAAACAGTTTCATCAGAGTTCAAACGCAGCAGCAGCAGCAAGCAAAGTATATTGTAAACAACTTTATTTGTAAGGGAATAGCTATCTCTCAAAAGCTTTAATATGAAAGTTATCATTGTGGGGCCTTTGAGGTAAATAAAAAGACATTTGAAAAACGGTGAGCGTGCTTGGATTTTGGTTGTATCAGAAATGCAGGCTTTGAGAAAACGGAATCTGAGGAAGGTATTCAAATAAATCAGCTTTATAAAAGTCAGTCACAGGACATTTTAATGACCTTGTATATCTCCTTATAAGCCAGGAAATAAGACATTGAGGGCACTTCAGGCATTCTCTGGGGAAGGACGTGCAAGGAAGGAAAAGCTCAATTTATTAGAATGAAGCAAAAGTGTGAATGTATTCAGGATATCCCAAAATGCTTTGGGAATGTTTGGATAAAGCAAAGTATTTGTAAACAGTGTTCTTCTTCATGCACACGCCCACTATGGTTGACTGGTCTTCTCTTTTCAGCTAGACTTGGTGCCAGTTCTAACATTACCCATCTACCTGTAAGAACAAAGCCAGATTTGGAAAACCTGTTAAGGTACTTGGGATGCTTGCAGTTGTAAATAATAGAATAAAAGACAGAATATGTAAATTTGAAAAATAACATAAGAAGAACCCTGCGGGATCAGACCAATGGTCCATCTAGTCCAGCTTCCTATCTCACACAGTGGCTAGCCAGTTCTTCTAGAGGGTCAACGACAGGGCATAGAGGCTGAGGCCTTCCCCTGATGTTGTTTCCTGGCTCTGGGATTCAGCGGATTAGTACTTCTGAATGTGGAGGTTCCCCTCAGTCACCATGGCTAGCCTAGTAGTCATTGCTAGACATCCTCCGTGAATCTATCCAGTCCCTTTTTAAAGCTGGTGATTCCTGTGGCCATCACTACATCCTCTTGCAGTGAATTCCACATACTCTCTGTGTAAAGTAGTGTTTCCTTTTGTCCGTCCTGAACCAACTGCCCATCAGCTTCATTGGATGCCCTCAAGTTCTATTATTTTGGGAGAGGGAGGAGAACGTCTCTTAGTCAACTCACCCCATGCATAATTTTATAAACTTCTATCATGTCTCCCCTTAGTTGTCTCTTTTCTAAACTGAAAAGTCCCAGGCTCTTCAGCCTTTCCTCATAGCGAATGTGCTTCAGTCCCCTAATCATCTTGGTTGCCCTCCTCTGTACTTTTTAAACTTTCTTCTCCAGATTCTCAATAAAAGGTAAAGGTTCCCTTGCTCGAAAGCCAGTCGAATCCGACTCTAGGCTTGCAGTGCTCATCTCCGTTTCAAAGCCAAAGAGCCAGCGCTGTCCTAAGACGTTTCCGTGGTCATGTGGCCGGCATGACTAAACACCAAGGTGCACAGAACGCTGTTACCTTCCCACCAAAGTGGTACCTATTTATCTACTTGCAATTTCTTGCTTTCGAACTGCTAGGTTGGCAGGAGCTGGAACTAGAGACGGGAGCTCACTTCGTCTTGCGGCACCCTGGGTCTCGAACTGCTGCTACTGACCTTCCACAGCCTGCAGTTCAGCATCTTAACCACTTGAGCCACCGCAGCTCCTAAATTCTCAATACCACCCCTTAAACTCAGTTAAATCTGGTGACAGCATTTGACATTTCCATAGTTCTTGGTTGCAAGAGCTCCTAAGTTAGAGCTCTTATTAGCAGTAAAACTCAGCTGCCTGGCTGTTATGGAGTGTTTATCACCAATAGCTCAGAAGTTACAGAAATTGTAGGGTTAGGAGCCACATGGATGTTTTTGTGGGATAAGTGTGCAGAAAAGGGGAAGATGCATCATTATCACAATACTTGTAGTGTGTATGAATGGTGTGTGTTTAAAAATGAGTGGAGTACGTGAACAAGAAATGGAGCCATCTTAGGAAGAATTGCAAACAAACATTCATGTTTTTGAGTCTCCCAAGTATTTGTATCCATGGTTTCTGCCATTTATTACAGGGATAGTTTTGCTTGCTCAGCATAAGGATACCTGCTGTATCAAGCCATGATTTATGAATCTAGTAAATATGGGGCAGAATAGCAGAAAAAAGATGGGTCTGGTTGGATTCATTATGTATCCAACACAAAAATAACAAAGGGACGTTTGGAGTGTCTTAAGTGTGGGGAAATAATGTAGGGATTTTGAAGGCAGTTTGAGATTAGTTTCTCTATATCTCTAATATGGTGAAAGTAAATGTAAATTTGTGGAGAACCGCCTCTCTCAAAGCTGTGGAACAACCCACCCCCCTTGCACACAAGCAGAGTCTTCCTGGTACCCAACAAACTGCAGTTTGTTAGAATTTCTGAATCAGATGAAACAGCTATGGCTTGTTCTGTTGTCTACAAACTAGGATTCTAATTTTCAAATCAGAACTAAATTGTCATTTATAATTTCTGGCCAAGAGAGCAAACTACCATTTATCATTTTATCCAGTTTGGATTTCACAGCAAACAGGATATATTTTTTTTGGAACAAGGAAGTATCCCGTTTCTGAGTTGCACACAAAGAGAGGTGAGAGAAAGGATACAGAAGCCCTTGGCTTTCCAGAGCTTTATACTGAACCATGGTTTCTTATTCCATCTGAACGCAATCAGCTAATGAATTCCTTCTACTACAATGTACTGTTGCAAGGAGCTTATGGGTTTCTGTGTGCAACTGGTCTCTGAGTTTTGTTTCTTGGTCACACTGGAGTGTGATGGCATCTTGGAAAGTAGATTTGTGCATGGGCGGATAGATGCAAGATTTGTCTATACGTGCGTATGAAGAAATTGGTTTTCACATTCGTAAGCATGCCTTTGTGCTCCCTTTCTTGTTCCTCTTCTGCTGTCTTTTTAGAACACCATGGCTAACTCGATACCCTGGTCTGTAGGAAGCAAAATAAACAGATTACAGAATTAATGAGCAAACAGAATAATATTAAAGGAAAGCTTTCTTGTTAATGAGCATTGCAGGCAGCTCAAATCCTTTATTTGAACTCGAGAATTATAGTTTCAACTGTACCGTTTCCCCCCTTTCTAGGTCAAGTCGGTTGGTGGATGTGGAGGGGCATCACCATCGCTGTTAGTGGAAAACTGGATGTCTGAGTGGGTTTTGTGTGTGGACAGCTGCGGAGATTGTCAGACGAGAAGTCCCCGTTGCTTCCTTCCTCTTCTGACCGAGCGCTCCAGAGCGATTGATTTCTCTCTTTTTCTTTTGTTCACTCCACAAAAGGCATTCTATTACCCTTGACCAAACTGGGTGAAAGAGTGACTCTCATGTTGATTTCTGGCCTCCCGTGTTGGCCTTTTTTGTTTTTGCTTTCAGTATGGCAGTTGGTAAAGTAGGTGGTCGCCTCGACAGCGAAAGGCACGCCGGTCAAGTGTTGATCCCCCAGTCCCGGAAACGGTTCTTCACGTAATGGAACCCTGGAGTGACCACCATGCCCATCACGCCAGAGAATGCGGTGCTATTTCTTCCCATCCTTTATCGATGGCTGCAGAATCATTTGAAGGAGGAGGTGGAAGAGCCAGAACAGAGACTTTGCCGTTCCGCCATCAAGAAGCTGAGGGAGTACATCCTCTTGAACTTCTCGGTGGAGGAAGGCATACTTCAACATGGTACGAACCCTGTGGACATGGAGATCTGTGCTGTGTACCTTACCAAGGATCCAGGAAACGCGGAATCCCTTGGCCTAAGTTTTGGGAATATTCCTGCTCTGGGGGACTATGGAGAAAAGCGGAGAGCGGGGAAAAAAAGGAAGGGGCTTAAAGGCCCGGTACTTGACGTTGGAAGCATCTGGGTCACCGACTTAAAGAAAAACAGCCCAGCGGGGAAATGTGGAAAGGTGCGCTTGAGAGATGAGATCCTTTCACTGAATGGGCAGTTGATGGTCGGAGTGGATATCAGTGGTGCGAGGTAAGGCACTTAAATAAACTTGAGTGCCAATAAATAGTATATTGTGTTTACAATTTCACAGAATGTTTTTAAGAGTAGTAATATCTCCTGAGTACTGTTCTGGGTACCTTGTTGTATAGATGCGAGGTTGGACTAGGCCTTTTTCTGTAGCTGTCCTGGTGCTGTGGAGCAGCTCTCTCTGAAGGCTTCCTATCACTTTCAAGAAATTGGAAGAAAGATTCTTGTTTTACCAGGCTTTGAAAAGGAATTCTTAGGTTTGGCCAGTGCTTTTAGACACAATGTTTGTTCTGTTTTATTGATTTTAATGCTATTTTTAACTTATTCTTATTTGTGTTGTTTTGTACAATTGTACAATTGTAAACTGGTGCTGATAGTTATGTGAGTAGAGTAAGTAAATGAATACACAAACATGTATAGTACAGAACAAAGTTTGAGTCCAGTGGCACCTGAATGTATTGTACGAAGAACCATTTGCTCTATCTACTCCATGTGATTTGTTATCTGGATTTACAGTGTGGCAGACATTTCAAAAACAGGGGAGTTATGGCTAAAAGAAGCAAAACATTTTGTTACCTAAGGTGGAATACCTGATTCCCTCCCCCAGGTTGGTAAAAGTATAATGATGAATCAGATAATTTGAGAACTTGTTGCCCTTTTAGCATTCCAAAGCCTGCTTCCTGTACTGGTTTGCTTCCTCACTCTCTCTAATAATAGGGTGAGCCATTTTCTACCGTTTTCTAAGTGTATGTGTCCTGGGGAATGGAGAATCCCATGAAATATTTCCATGTGTGCAATAGTCCTCATATGATTGCACTAAGGGAAAGCAGTGGTATCCCCACTATCTTTTGCGCATGTGCAAGACATAGCACAAGGGAGTTGGTCCTGTATACTGTCAAAACCAAATTGAATTGAATTGGAGACCAAACCCTATGAGGAAAGGCGGAGGGACCCGGGACTGTCCAGTCTGGAGAAGAGGAAGTTGAGGGGGGACATGATGGATCTCTTTTAAGTATTTGAAGGGCTGTCACTTGGAGGAGGGCAAGGAGCTGTTCCTGTTGGCAGCAGAGGAGAGGACTCGCAATAATGGGTTGTAATTAAGGGTCGGAAGGTACTGGGCTGGATATTAAGAAACACTTTTTTACAGTAAGAGTTGTTCAGTGGTGGAATCAGCTGCCTCAGGAGGTGGTGTGCTCCCCCACACTGGCAGTCTTGAAGCAGCGGCTGGACAAACACTTGTCAGGGATGCTCTAAGGCTGATCCTGCATTGAGCAGGGGGTTGGACTGGGTGGTCTGTATGGCCCCTTCCAACTCTGTGATTCTATGAGTCTAATAATAGAGTGAGCCACTTTCTACCGTTTTCTAAGTGTTTGTGTCCTGGGGAATGGAGAATCCCATGAAATATTTCCATGGGTGCAATAGTCCTCGTATGATTGCACTAAGGGAAAGCAGTGGAATCCCCACTGTCTTTTGCACATGTGCGAGACATAGCACAAGGGAGTTGGTCCTGTATACTGTCAGAACCAAACTGAATGAAATCATGGGAACGGTCACTTTGTAAATTCCATCGCTCCATATGCACATCGTTGTTACGTTGAAATAGTGTTGGGAGCGCTCTGTGTTGCTACAGCCGTTGTACTACTGCTATTGCGAACAGCACTAAGTACAGGTGTCTGTGTAATTTCAGTTGGTTGAGATTGATCTATTAAGATTGCAGAAATTTACATTTGCATACATTTGTAAAATGGGAGTAGGCTATTGGTTGGGTCGTACCAGCCCACTCAGCTAAGTATGGATCTAGCCTTCTGATGCAAAACCTTTCTGCTGGCAGAACAGCCTCTTCTGCTGGAGGAAGGCCCCACATTTAGTTCATAGCTTCATGATGCCACGGGGGAAGTCTTCTGTGGCCAACCCCTCCCAACCACCGATGATCTCTGGAGATCACTAATGGCCAGCTAGACCCCTTCTGAGCTAGGGTTGCCAACTCCAGGTTGGGAAATTCGTGGAGATGTTGGGGGCAGAACCTGAGGAGGGTGGGGTTTGGGGAAAGAAGGGAGTTCAGTAGGGCATAATGCCATAGAGACCACCGTCCAAGGCAGCTGTTTTTCCCCCAAGGGGAACTGATCTCTGCCATCTAGGGATCAGTTGTAATCCTGGAAGACCTCCAGGCCCAGTTTTTTGGGGAGCCTGGTTTTTTGGGGTAGGTGTTGCCTCAGTGTTGTTGATTTCCTCCCTACCTTGCTTTTTCTGGAGCAGTCCCAGCTAGAGAGCCAGTTTGGTGTAGTGGTTAAGTGTGCGGACTCTAATCTGGGAGAACCGGGTTTGAGTCCCCACTCCTCCACTTGCACCTGCTGATGTGACCTTGGGTCAGTCACAAGCTCTGGCACAGCTGTCCTTGAAAAAGAGCAGTTTGTGTCAGAGCTCTCTCAACCCCACCCACCTCACAGGGTGTCTGTTGTGGGGAGGGGAAGGGAAAGGAGTTTGTCAGCCGCTATGAGACTCCAAGTGAAGGGCGGGGTATAAATCCAATCTCCTCTCCTCTCCTCCTCCTCCTCCACATTAGACCCAGGTGTGGCCTCTTTCTTCTTCAGGGATTCCTGCTATTACCTCAAGGTAGTTTCAGAAGGGTAGCTGTGTCGGTCTGCAGTATAACAACTAGATTTGAGTCCAGCAGCACTCAGAGGCCAACAAGATTTTCGGGGTGTAAGCTTTTCAAGAGTCAAAGCTCTGGAAAATACCCCCCCAAATCTTGCTGTTTTCTAAGGTACCGCAGGACTCGAATCTAGCTGTCATGTGACCTCAAGAGCACATGCTCTTGTTTATCTGACCAGCTATCAAGTTCTCGACTCTTTTTCCCCCTTTGCCCTCGGCTGTTGTCACGCTACCATAATCAGGGATCCAAACATGCGGCTCTCGCTAGCATCCGTGGAGGGTACAGCTGGAAACGTTTCCGGAGTCTTCTGTTGCAGATGTCTAGTGGATAAGAAGCATCCCAGTTTACAGTACTGAACTTTTGCAGCTAGCCAGACACGAAGCACAGCACTGGAAGGTTAACGCTTCAGATGCCGCCAAGGTACTATAACCGCTCCTTCAGGTCACCAAGTAAATAAAGAGCCTCACCAATCACGGGAGATTTAAAAATAGGGCCAAGGCCAATGGTACAAAATCAGGTAAAACATATTTTTATTAGAGAAAAGAAGAGATTGGATTTATATCCTCCCCTTCACTACCCGAAGGAATCCCAAGGCGGCTTACAATCTCCTTCCCTTCCCCTCCCCACAACAGACACCCTGTGAGGCAGGTGGGACTGAGAAAGCTCTTTCAAGAACTACCCTTGAGAGAACAGGTCTGAGAGAACTTGTGACTGACCCAAGGTCACACCAGCAGCTGCATGTGGAGGAGTGGGGAATCAAATCCGGTTCTCCCAGATTAGAGTCCACGCTCCTAACCAATACACCAAACTGGCTCTCAATTAGGAAATCTTTGGAAATTTTATTGAGTAATAAAAAATATTTTTACCTGATTTTGCACCATTGGCCTTGGCCCTAATTTTTATGTCCTGCTTCTTCAGGTCACAGAGGGAACTTTGTTCTCGCCGAGCGCTGGAGGCACGAGTGCAGGATCCCACTGCGGTTGCCACAGATCACTGGGTTAGCCACTGTTAAGCTCCGTAAGAATTAGGTAGGATTAGAAGGCTTTTGTTTGTGAGATGTTAGATTGTGGCTGCTTCGGGAAATGTGCAGCAGCCGCTTAGGAAAAAAGTGGGGAGACTGCTAAACTGTCTCCGAAACCCTTTTGTTTGCGAGAGCAAAGAACGACAGGAGATTGGAGCTTCCTTGTTGGTTATTCAGAATCCCTGTTTCTTACCTTCTCTCTTGCAAGGGAGAAAGTTTCAAAAGAGGCCTTAGTGTGGCAGAATGGTTAAAAGATCGGACTAGGTCCTGGAATGACTGGGTTTGAATCTCTCCGCTATGGAAACCTGCCAGGCAGCCCCGTAGCCAGAGATTTTGGGTTTGTGGGGCATGGGGAAATTTTGTGGGGCAGCAGGTGAGGAGGGAGGGGAGAGGGGGGCTTGCCCGCACCTGAACTCCAAGTGGCGAAATCGCCGCTTGGAGTTCAGGGAAGGCATGCGGCTAGCAGCTGCCCCTCTCCCTCCCCTCCTGCAAGATTGAAAGGGCCCGCTGATCAGCTGGAGGGCCCCTTAAATCTTGGGGGAGGGGAGGGAGAGGGGCGGCTGCAAGACTTAAAGGACCCTCCAGTTGATCGGTGGGCCACGTGTTCCCGCCGATCAGCTGGAGGGCCCTTTTAATGCTACAGGAGGGTAGGGAAGGGGAGGAGGGGGGCCCTTTTAATGCTACAGGAGGGTAGGGAAGGGGAGGAGGGGGGAGAGGTGCAGCAGCTGTTGTGGGGGCATGGCTCACATTTGAGGGGGCGAAGCCCCAGAATGCCCCACTGTAGCTACGGGCCTGCTGCCAAGTGACCTGGGACCTTCACTGTCTCTCAGCTGAACCTACCCTCACAAGGTTTGTTGTTGCGAGCATTAAGTGGAGGAGGGGGGGAACACCATGAAAAGCCGCCTTGGGTCCCCGATCGGGGAGAAATGCAGGATATAAACTTAAGGCAACATTGCCCTTTCCCATAAAGAATCAAAGCTCTCTCTTTGCTCGTGTTAAACGGCTGTTTTATTATGTTATTTTTGCTGGCTCCTTATAAAGTAAATTTCACTCTTCCTATGTGAACAACTATGCAGCTCAGAAAAACCTCCACAGTAGCAGAAGGCATTTCTTGAAAGCTGTGTGGATTGCTTTGCCAAGTAACTAACTGCAGTTCGGTTCTGCAATGCCACGCAGAGCTGCTGTTCTGATCCGGTGTCGCTGTTGTGTCAAGCGTGCTAACAACACTGTTTCAACGCCTCCCCCCGCCAGTTTCTAAGTGGTACCCCAGAGCGCACGTACATATCCCCTTCAAGTAAAAATATAGAACAGCCTGGACCAACGCTCCCT